GTGGTGCTGAGATTCGAACCCGGGTCTTCTGCAAGAACAGCCAGTGTTCTTAACCACTGAACCATCTCTCCAGCCCCATATGTAAATAGTTTTTAATAAATTGTTCATATATATTTGTTTATCCAAGATACATACAGAGCTACGAATTAGTAAGCGTTAACTCTAGATATTAAGTCAAATGATTTGAATAGATTTCAGGAAATTGAATATCCAAAGGATCAAAAACCATATGAAAAAGTCCCCAATCATTGGCGATTAAGGCATTGAAGATGAAAGAAAGGAAGGTGTTCCACACTCAAGAGTGAAAGAGAAACCTCAGTACCAAGTATTGCAGGAATGTGGAGGACCGAGGAAGTCTATGCTGTAGACACCCAAATGGGCATCACCTTAGAAAATAGCTTGGGTCAGGTGTGATGGTACACGCGTTTGATTTCCAGCACTAGGAAGGCAGAGGCAGGAGGATCTCAGTGAGATCAAGGCCAGCCTGGTCTACATAGTGAGTTCCAGGCCATCAAATTACTCACAAATCTTTGAGGTCTATCCAGCAGAAACATACACAAAGAAATGGGTAGCAGCATTAATTTTGGGTTTTACCAATTTTTTCCAGTTTCATTGATCTGCTTTCTAATTTTCTTTCCATGTTTTTTTTTTTTTCTAATTTCTGAAGGCACGAGTTAAGATAATTCATTTGAGATCTTTCTTAATTTCCTAATACTGCTCTAACAATTTACCCAGGACTTCATGTCCAGAGGCCTGAAGTCAGCTAGATCACTGCTCACTCATGGCTGGTACAGGGCTCTGTTTCTCCTAGACATCCTGCCATTCCTAGTGTGTAGAAGTGGCCGGCATTCCTTGGCCCATGGCATCATTTCCCCAGCAGCACTGGCCGAGTCCTTCTAATGCTGCCATCTTGCTCTTTCCCTTTTCTTCCAGGTGAAGAATCCTTGTGATTATTTTAGCTCACCCAGTATCTCTCCATTGCAAAAGCTGAATAGCAACCCAAATGCCATCATAACTTTAAACCCTTTTGTGACGTAACCTAATATAGGCCCAGGTCCCAGATCAGGATTTGAATGTTTTTGGAGGGTCATTACTTTGCCTTACATGCTTTTTCCTGATGAAAGAATTTAATACTACATATTTCCTTTAGATTTTCCCAGAATTTGTTTTTATGCTGTTTAAAATATTTTCTGCAATTTAAAATATTTTCTGATTTTGCCTTTGATCCTTGGGCATTTACAATTCCCCCTCCTATCCCCTCCCCTCTCCCACAGACCATTTTAATTCTTTATTTGGCAATGCCTGTTATTTCTTCAGAAGTATTTTGTTTTACGGACTGGGGGGATGGCTCAGTTAAGTGCTTGCTGAATAAGCATGAGGACCTGAGTTCAATTCAATGTAAGAAAGCTGGGTGTGGCAGGCACCTACAATCCTAGCCCTGGGGAGACAGACAGGAGGATCCCTGGGGCTTGCTGATCAGCCTGACTAGCCCAATGAGCAAGCTCCACAGTCAATGAAAGACTATCTCAAAAACCAAGGTGCAGGGTGGTTGAGGAAGACACCTGACATCAACCTCTGACTTCCACCTGCATGAACGCGTGCGCGTGCGTACACACGTACACACACACACACACACACACACACACACACACACACAACTTTGTGATAGGTAATACTGTCAACCTGTGGCTTGGAGACTGGGTTGGGGGTTGGTTAGTTCAAGCTTCAGTAAAGGATAACTACATAAAAGCCTAGGATAATATAGACAATTATATTTGTATATTTTGGAAGCAAGTGCCTGCCTCCCCCCCTACCCCCCCCCTGCAAGCAGAATCTATCTAAATACAACAGACATCAGTGCTTCACAGTTAAGAAAATTCAACTGTGTTGCTGGGCGTGGTGGTGCACTCCCTTAATCCCAGCACTTGGGAGGCAGAGGCAGGCGGATCTTTGTGGGTTCAAGGCCAGCCTGGTCTACATAGTGAGTTCTAGGACAGCTGGGGCTACAAGGAGACCCAGTCTCAAAAAAAAAACCCAATTTAAAAAAAAAAAAAAAAAAAAGACAAAAAATTCAACTGTAAAGCATGACTGATTCAAATTCTTAAGTCAAAAAACCCCAAATATTCTCAAATTTTCCAGGTTGAATACCTATGCAAGTGTTCTTCCTTCTGATTTTCTGTATCTTCTCATTTCTATCATAAACATACTTATAAGGAAAGCTAAATCACGTTTCAACAATAAAAACAATGATTTTTTTCAAAGAGTGTTCTCCAGGAGATATGACTCAAGCTCCCAACAGCAGTGAACCCATTCCTCTATGTGAAACTATTTGAAGTGAAAAACATTTTTTCATTTTTAAAAGAAGACTTTTGGACTGGGTGTGGTGGTGCATGCCTGTAATCCCAGCACTCAGGCAGAGGCAGGCAGGTATCTGTGAGATTGAGGACAGCTTTGTCGACATACTGAGTTTCAGGCCAGCCAGGAATACAGGGAGACATCTCAAAAAACACCCCCAAAAACAAAACAGAACAAAAAAGTTTCAGGCCAATGAGGGCTGCATAGTGAGAGCCTATCTTAAAACAAAAAAGATGACTACCTACAACTTAATATCTTATAACCATATTTGGTAAATGCTTGAATACTAATTTCTGGATGATGGGATTTCAGGCAACTATCATTTGTCTTCTTTATACATTTTTTTTTAAAACTTAATTTTGAGTGTTTTGCCTACATGTAGGTAAGTGCATCCACGTCGTGCAATGCTGATGGAGGCCTTAAGAATGTGTCAGATCCCTGTTCTTGCAGAACACCTGGGCTCGAATCCCAGCACCCACATGGCAGCTAACAACTTCCGTAACTCCAGTTCCAGGGGATCTAACAGCCTTTTCTGTCCCCCATGGGCACTGCATGACATGGGCACACTTACGTACATGCACGCATAACACTCATACACATAAAATAAAAATCATAAAAAAAAACATGTATCAGATCTCTGTAACTAGAAATACAGCTGCCATATGGGTGCTGGGAACCAAACCTAAGTCCTCTACATGAGCAGCCAGTGCTCTTAACCCCTGAGCCATCTCTCCAGCCCCTTCTGTTTCATTCTTAAAGCAAGAATTATACATTACTTTCAAAATAAGTAAAAATAAGAATTTTCCTTGTTATGATGATCAGTTTTCTTCTGTTTTGACACAAGAATTATGCATATTTGTAAGGATATAGGACATAAGTTGATTATGTATGGAATTACATTCATCCTACTGTATAAAAGAACACCAGAACTCTCAACTGCAATTTGCTAACTGCTGCTTATCTTTCCTCACAGAAAAATGGTTTGAATTAGTATGCAGTTCAGTGTTTTTTATGTGAATAAGTGCTTTACCTGTGTGTATGTATATGCACCACCCGCATGCAATGCCTGCAGAGACCAGAAAAAGGCATTAGATCCCCTGGAACTGGAGTTACGAATGGTTAACTGTCACGTGTGTGGCTGAGAACTGAAGCCAGGTCTTCTGCAAAAGCAATCAGTGCTCTTAACTGCCAAGGCATCCCTTCAAACCCTCACATAGCTACCTAGACTTCTACATAGAACTATTAAAAAAAAAAATTAGACTATTCCCTCCCATCATGTTATCTTCCCTAACATTTATTCTGCCTTTTAACTTTCTAAGAGTGGGTCATAATATATAGGCCAGGTTGGCCTTAAACTCACAATCCTTTTGCCTCCCTAGTACTAGGATTACAAGTCTGTGCTATATGCCTGGTTTCCAAGTAAACATTAACATAATAAATACTTCACAAGAATTTTCATATGAATATATGCCTTAAACTTCTCAAATGACAAGTATACTGACATTTAATTGTTACTAAGTGATTAAGCTTTCAGCTGCCTTAGGAGAAAAATTCAAACATGAGAGTGCCACTTTCCTAAGTGTAATGAGTAAAACAGATTTTAACAGAGCAGCAAGTTGTCTCCTGAAAGAATAAAAATTCATTAAATGGTATACAATCCTTAGTTTTTTCATCCATAAAGGATGCACACAATCATCTAAATGCTCATACCTGACTTGAAATGCACTAATCTTCCCCAGTGAAAATCCTTCTGTAACGGCTTTTGTTTTACATATGCTTTTTTTGGTCTTCTTGAGACTGGGTCTCCCTGTGGCCCCAGCTGGTCTGGAACTCACAGACCAGGATGGTCTTGAATTTACAGAGATCTGCCTGCCTCTGCCTCCAGAGTGCTGGGATTAAGGGCGTGCATGAACACACCCAGTTTTGTATTCTCTTTTTCTTTTTTTTGTAAAGCTAGATACCAATTCATAGCAGATGAGAAAGTTCTAAGAATAAACCAATGTGCAACAAACTACCAATTACCCCAAATGATACAAGTATGAAATTAGGAGAGAACAAGTATGACCCAACTTGATCTCTAGTTAGGATGAGAAGGGCAGTGCGATTTGAGAGCATGTTTATTAAACCAACTGTAGGAACTGGGGTGGAGGAAGAGGAAGAATACTGTCATAACAGAAATTAATAAAACACTTGAAAATGAATATAAATTTAATAATAAACATTATGGTCAGGCTGTTTATTAAGGAGGCAACCACATATCACAAGTTCGGCTATAGAAATATTTGTAAATCAAACTTCATGTGGATCTAAAAGGACCATGCATCATACTGTCAAAACTGGACACCTGTACAGTGAATTAAAAGTCAATTTAAACATACATAGGCTAGACCATCCTAGAGTTATACAAACACCTGGGGACATACATATATATATATATATATGTATATATTTAATTTGCTTTGTTTTCAAAAAAACTTTTTATAAAAGTGATGTACTGAGAATTTTAAAAAGTATCTGACAATTATGAATGGTCCCCAGTTTTACAAAATGTAATTTCCAGGGTATGAAAACTGAAAAAGTCAACTCTTCACAGAGTGTTTTATATTATACAAACAAGTTTTGTAGAAAAATGATCCAGCAAATGCTTGAGTTAAGAATATTTATATTTTTCCAATTCTTTACACTTTTTATTAACACACTTACAAAAAATAACATCCAAACACCGGGAAAATTAAATAACTTTGGAAGCAGAGATCACAGCTTTCTGCTTACATATAAGTGACAATTCTGGGTTGTTGGCACAAAATAATCAACATTCATAAACCCTTACTACTATATATCAAACATAAGTTAAAATCATAGGCACTAGTTTATCAAACCCCATTTCTCCTGTATGACTAACCACAGTACATCCTTAGATTTTCCCAAACAGAAAAACTGGCAATACACAAAGGCTTTCTAGTAAAAAGGCAATTTTTCTCTTTAGGAAACTACAAGCCTAGAGTCTGTGGTAGTGCAACAGTACATAAAATGAAATCACTTAACTCAGACCCAAAGTACACTCAAAGTGATAAAACAGTTAAAAAAAAAATTTTTTTTTTCTGGTGCAGCCATTTTAAACAAAGTTTAATAACCTGAATATTCCTTTTGAAACGATTATCTAACTTAAAACATGTAATAGATGGTTCATTAAGATTCTTAATTATTAGATTGCAGCATTTATTTTTGAAATGTTACACTGAACAGAGACCTCTTTGCTTTGTGTACACGTGGTTTTACAAAGAGACAGTGGCTGGTTCTTTGTTACTTACTTAGATTTACATGAGATACTCCTTTACCAAAGCAGATGTTGTCTTTATCTTCCTCTGAAAAGCAACAGTTTTTAGTTCATTATGTAGAATTATGATACCATCCTTTCCACCTCATCACCTTCAAATGCAAGGACACAATTTCTCCCTTCCATGCTACACTAAGTCTGCAGCACTGGCAGCTGCACGTGCAGCTGCTTGCATTAGCTGAATGTCTGTCTCCCTGTGGGTCCAGTCAGTAAGGACTGCCTGGTGTCAGTCATTTGCAGAATGGGGGCCTGGTTCTAAGTATTACCGTTTTCTTGACCTATCAACTCAGTGCTGCCTTGAACAGGAAGCCTTCTCTTCCTCCACTGCTCCAGTCGACTTACAGAATGTCCTCCATTAGCAGGAGATTTGTTTAAATCTCTAAAACCTTTTATGTGACCCAACTGCCAATATTTTAGAATTGTTCAAATTAAGCATTTAAGAAACAGACCTCATCATAAAAAATGAGAAGTCTGCTACAGAAGGAAGCTTCAGTTTGGTAATAATCTGGTAAAACTGAAACAGGTGATTGAAAGACTATATATACACATGAGCCTTTAGAGGGCAAGTATTTAGCAAATTAGTCAGACGGTTTGTTACCAAACAATGTAAAAATTGATGTAAGGCAGATCTAAGTCAAAAGGGACAGTATTTTTAAAAAAAGATATTTTATACAGTTACTCAGTTTGAAGTGGATCGACTTAAGTAGGACTTACCAAGCTAGTTTTTCCTACCACATAATAGACCGTTATGCCACTTAATAGCAACAATACAACTGTCATCACCAGAGGTTTTATAGTTAAATGCATAGATTTCCACCCCCTCTCTCGTAGTATGGTTTTATTCCAGGTTGTAAGCACTGAGGTGTTGTTTTATCAAGAGTAAAGACACATACAACTTGCTTTTTCCCCCATCATAGAAACCTGGTAATAGAAACAAGATCTTTTAGTTCTGTGACAGATAACAGCATGTGAAGAAGTTGGCTTCAATAACAAAGGCCATCTTTCCTGAGCCAGGAACTATAAAGTTTAGAAAGATTGTACAACTGATAGTAAGCCCTTTTGGCAATCAAAACAAACACATAGAAGTCTGATATGTCAATGCAACATGATGGATGCACGCTGTAACACTATCTGGGGATGGCTATGTGTGAAGTGAGCTATGTCCCAAATTTAAGACTGAATAAGTGATACTTTTTCCAATGAACCTGAAAAAATAATTTATAAAACTCTCCTAAATATAGGTAGCATGTTTTAATTTTTCACCTAGTTTTTCTCCTTTCTCCCTCCTAAGCTTAATAATCTACAATATCCTAGAGTACCAGTCAAACACTTTAATTAGTCAGAATATTAGTTCTCATTAACACAAATATTTATTGATACTATTTGTACATTAAAGCAGGTTGAACGTCGTTTGGACAGCCTGAATTCATCACCTTCTTGGGTACAAAGGTACTCTCCTGTCTATAAATGGGCATTTTCTTTGGCATCCACTAGGTATTTGTCCAGATATTGGCCTCTGTGAAATATTTAAATAAAAAAAAAGAACCGTGTTTCTACTGAACAAAACTAAAAGTGACTCCATGGAAAGTGATTGTATGATTACCAAACACATCTGATATTAAATGTTATTAAAGTGCTGCTTGATCATCTCTGTCGGTTTGTGCTATTTAAGACAGAGTGGGCTGGGATTTTATAAATCCCAAGAGTCTTTATCTGAAGAGTCTGCATATAAAAGTCATTTTCCAGCCTGGTGAAGGGGTATCCATGAAGCTGTGGACCTCTGCGTTCTTGTCTCTGCTGGTCAGTAACAGCCATCTTTCCAACTGTCATCTTTCATACTACCATAGGTTTTAGGAGCTGGTAAAGATCTGAAATAAAGCATTTTTATAATGATTCTTAATGTATTTACAAAACATTACCACATTTGTTACATTTATTATTTTTCAGGTGACACAGTGCCCCATAAAGGTTGTTTCAGGGAGCTAAGACTGCAGCTCTAAACAACTATTACAGCAACCTTCCTTTACTCAGCATTTTACAATTTTCCAGTTTTACTTTACTCCAGATGATTCCTCTAATCCTGTGTTGACATGGTTATCAGATTAAAATAAGGGGAAAGAGCCAGGCGTGGTGGCGCACGCCTTTAGTCCTAGCACTCAGGAGGCAGAGGCAGGTGGATCTCTGTGAGTTCGAGGCCAACCAGGTCTACATAGCGAATTCCAAGTCAACTGGGGCTACCAGGAGACCCTGTCTCAAAAAGACCAAAAAACAAAAAAAGGGGGCAGGGGGAGTTTCACTTTTTTCAAACACATGGACAACTGATCTACTGTTCTATGAGGAGAATGATGAATGTGACAACTGAAGCTTAGTGCCATCACTAGTGGCAGGCAGGGTGAAGGGAGTGGTTAAAAGGGTTCTGAAGTCAGACATACTTGTAACTGAAGGTCTAACTAGTATGTGCTCTGGCAAATTACTTAAATCTCATTAAATTTCAATATATTCCTTTAAATAAATAGGAGTACTTACTATAATAGATTACTGTAAACATTAGCCAAGGTGAACCTAAGTTGTTTAGCACAGTGTGAAACAAAAGGCCACTACATTCTACTGCTGAAATTGGAAATGTTTATATTAAGATGAAGGAAGTACAGGTACTCAGTTTAAATACAGGATTGGAACTTTTTTTTTTTTTTCAAGAAAATACTTAAATGTTTAATTACAGTTGATGTCCAAATTTATTGATGGTGGTAATCCCATTCTCGAAAAATAAAGATTATAGAAGTATAGTCCACAACTTCAATGGGGTTGGAATCATTTTAAAGTAAACAACAAAACACAGATTTGGGGCTGCATTCAGATCAACTAAGTTAGAATCTCTGGGGGTAGAGTTCTTATCTCTACGTATATAAAAATGCAACAGACAATTCTGAACTATATCAAGTCTGAAAACCATCTACTCAAGTATTGTAGCTAAAAGTTTTTCTTTTTATTCTTTTCATTTTTGAGACAGTGCCTCACTACATAGCCCTGGAACTTGGTATGCAGATCAGGCTGGCCTCAAACTCACAGAGACTCTGTCTGTCTCTGCCTCCCAACTGCTGGGATAAAGGGCACCTGCCACCACATCCAGTTCATACCTTAAATTTTATCTGAAATATCACTCTTGATTCTCTTGTGCTTTACTTCATTGACTGTCGTTATACTTAAAATGAACATCTACCATAGCTAAATCAAGTGGCTTTAATCAATTTCTCTAGGACTCCGAGATGCTTAATCATGTTAGGCATTTGGACAAATCTAGTATGAACCAACTGGTATAATGTCCCAAATGAGGACTTCCCCAAAATGAGGTAATGTTTCACTTCAATTGCACTAAGGCTGCAGTGGTACCCTCTACAACTCCCCATGCTCACCACTGAATGCAGAGACAAAGCTGATTCCAATCTGCCCACTTTGAAAAGTTCAAGCATGCCAAGCAGGATGTCTGCCACTTACCTGCGAACAGGCTGTGCAAGCTTGCTGCGAGGCACTGGTATACCCCCTGCAGAAGGGGCGCTCGGCCGGGGCAGGCCACTCCTCATTGTGGTTGTCCCCGCAGGTCTGGTTAGAGTAGTGCTGTTGATATTGCTAGGGGGGTTTGCTGGGACTGTGTTCTGAACCACAGGAGGCCCAGGTGAGGAGGTGGTTTGTGTGAACTGTGTAGTTTCTTGGCTACTAGGAGAACCAGAGCCATGGTTACTAAATGCTTTCACTGGTTGCCGAAGAGCCAGAGGAGATGGTGCTGCAGGGGAGCGGAACTTGCCTGGAGAAGGTACTACAGAGTGGCAAAGAAAAATCAATGTTTTCAGAGGGAACCAAGTATAAGTGAAATTGCTGTTTTACTTGATGACTGGGCACTAGAATATCTACATTCTTGAACATCACTCTTAAGAAATGCAAAGAATAAAGGACATTTTTGGAAAGATAAAAGAAAAAAGGACCATGGTTAAGTTTACAATAACCAAATCCTTAGTCAAAAGGCTACAACTGTCCTTTAAAAATACATTAACCAGGGTAGCTTGGAATCCACAAAACTATGGGGGGGGGCACCACAGAGCTGTCAAGATGGCTCAGTGGTTAAAGTTGCTTGCTCTGCAAGCCTGGAGACCTAAGTTCAATACCAGGAACCTATATAGAGGTAGAAGGAGAGAACCAACTCCACTAAGTTATTCTCTGACCTCCACACACATGCTGTAGCATACAAGTCTTCCCATCATACACACATACATGCACACAATAAATAAATAAACATATTAGAAAGGTACCACAGGATTCTGCCTCACCATAGCAACTAAGGGCCACATGAGAACATTCTAGCGATGAAAGAAAAGGTTGATACCAGATTGTTCTCTAGAATTTGCGGCACATTTCTGTACCTAAGGAAACATCCACGTAAATATAAATCAAGTAGGTGTCTGGTAACAAAGTCCCATTTTCTAGTCCCATATTTAGTTTCAGTGTAAGTAAAAATCAGAAATTAATGATTATTATTTAAAAAAATCAGCTCTAGGGACAGTGAGATGTTTCAGTGGTAAAGGTGCTTTGCCACATAAGTCTGATAACCTGAGTTCAATCCCTCGAACCTCTGGCAGAAGGGGAAAATCAACTTCTGAAAGCTGTCTTCATACTTTCGTATGTGCAACCTCGTGAGGCAAGTATGCACACATGCGTGAAAAAGATAAAATCAAAACGAACCCCCACACACACCCCCAAACAACCAGATTCTAAAATGCATTATAGTATTGCAACAGGTCTCTTTGAGGTTAAAGCTCAGATCCTGAGCATGCACTTATCCTTTGCTTATTCATGTTTGTATACATCATCTCTGAAAGGTCACTGATTTGAATCTCCTCAGGCAACTATGAACAGCAAGACACAATACAAACACCATAACATGCTTTAAGAAACAAAGAGGAGAATGGAGGGGGGAGGGAGGCAGAAAGTGAGAAAACGGAACAGCAGATCAGAGGCAAAAAGATAACACTATTCTCAGTCAACCTCTCTTAGTTTGAGGATGCTATGGGTGGACTACTCATTGTCCTCACTTCCACTAATCCACATGTAAGACAGAAGTGACAGGTCTAACACAGTAGTGGTAGGAGAGGGTATGTGATGGTTAATCCTGATTGTCAACTTGACTGGACTGAGAAGTGTCTAGTGGATCTGTAAGGCACACTTTGAGGTATATGTGACGGTGTTTCCAGAGAAGATCAAGTAAGGCAGGGAGATCTCCTTGAATGTGGGTAACACCAACTCAGACCAGGAGGACAGACGGAATAAAAGGAAAAAGGAGGAAGCTAGCTAGCAGAGGCACTTTTCCCCTCAGCTTCCTGGCCGCCAAGATGTGAGCTGCTCTACTGTCACACCCTATCTGCCATGACTTACTGAAAGCTATGAAAGCAAGAGCTGGAGGAAACTAGAAAGGAACTTAACAGGAATCTGAGAAGGGATCGTATACTGCTGAAAACACTGATAAAGCTAGACAGACTCATGAAATATTTCTAAAACACTGAACAGAGTGTGTAGTGATTTTTGCAAAAAGGATGCTTGGAGTCTGATATGCAAATCATAGTTCTGAAGCCCTATGATCCACCTACTTGGCTGTGTGTGTGTCTAAAGACAATTTCTAGACTGTAGATGAGAGTGTGTATCCAAGCAGATCAGACTTATCTTGCTGAGTGGAGAAGAAAAAAAACTGAACTGGGAGGAATAGTACTTCAGAGGTGAGTACTGCTCAGAAGACTTTCAGAACTTGAATCTTCAGCTGAACTACAGGCTGAGCATGTACAGAGTGATGCTCTGTGTCAATGGGCAAAGGAGACCTGAAGCACTGTCAACATTAACAGTTGCCAAAGCTGACACAGAATAGAGTCCTGGCCAAATATCAAGGAGATACAGCAAAGTAACTCCAGGAGCTACTCTAAAAGAAACAAGCTTATAACAAGGGGGTAGGGGGGTAGAGAGAGACTACAGCCTAGTCCTAGAATAAAGGAGACTTTAAATCTGTTCTAATAAGGCTTTTAAAAACTTCAAAAGGAATCCACAAGCTACTGCCTATGGGGGCAAGTGAACTGTTTTGGAAATAAAGTTTTATTAAAACACAAACATTCATTTATATCTAATCTATGGCTTTTTTCGAGCTATACTAGCAGGTTGAAAATTGGAATAAAGAGCATATGGTCTACAAGCCTAAAATATTTACTATCTGGCCTTTGAGAAAACATTAATTTATCCCTGCTATAAACGATTAAATTGATCTGTAAAGAAACATAATAGCTTGCCAAAAACAAAGTTCAACAGTATTTAAGAGGATAATAAAATCCAGCACAAAACAGTGTGAAATTCCCCAATGCCCTCTACCCCATAACTAACTGCTAAACATATAAAGAAGTGGGAGAGCAATAAGCAAGGCCACAGAACAATTAGGCCAAGAAGTGGCAGTGACAACTAAACTAGCCAGAAAGGACTTTCAAAGAACTTTCGCAAGGGCTCAAAGCTACACACAGACACACGGACATGGACACACACACTGGCCAGGTGGAGACCCTCTCTCAAAAAACAAAAAATTCCACATTTGATGAAAACATACATATAAGACTGATGAAATGGTTCAGCAAGTAAAAGTGTTTGCTGCATAAGCATGACAATCTGGGCTTGATCCCTGGAACTTATGGTGGAAGGAAAGAACCGACTCTCCAAAGTTTCCTCTGACCCTCACATCCATGCTGTTGCATGTACATGAGCCCATGTGCACGCACACAAACTAATAATACGTAAATTTTTTTTAAAAAGGTGTAGTGGTATGTGCCTTTAATCCTAGCACTCGGGAAGTAGAGGCAGGTGAATCTGTGACATCCAGGCCAGCCAGATCTACATAGTGAGTTCCAGGCTACCTGTGGCAGCAGGGAGATCCTGTCTCAAAAACAAACAAGAAACCCAAATTTTACATTCTTTTTTATAAATTTATTATTTTTATGCCATCTCTCCAGCCCCAAGAAATTCTTTAGAAGAAAATGATACTAGGTGCTAACTTCAATCTGCACAAATCTATGAATGGTGCCCCAAATGAAATAAAGGCATAACCTGGATGGTCAGAGCATATAGAAAAGTGGTTATTCTTGGTATAGGGGTTTGGGCCTTGGATTCTAGGCGTATTCTCCAATTCAGTCTTGTTAATCAGAATTATATTTTATTGTGTGGTGCTGGGGATTGAACACATAGCTTTGGGCATGCTGGGCATGTGATCTACCACTCAGCTACATCCCAAGCCCTTGGTTTATTGAGACAGAGTCTCACTGAGATCATGTAGTTCAGGCTGCCCTTAAACTCATTATACAGCCCAAGTGGCTTTGAGCTGGCATCCTCCTGCCTCCACCCTGAGTTACACATGCAACTTAAGCTAATATTTAAAATCATATCTTATACCTGTATCTATATTTATAGAGAAAGGGTATAGTGACAACTCTCAAGTCATGACAGAGCACAATATATGAAAGCCTGGATTACTAAGATAAAATAAAAAAAACAAAACCCAACAGAGTATACACAAACTTCCGTTACTAGATCAAGTAGAGATATACAAATTCCAGTTCATAACAGCTATGAGTGGATTCTCTTGGAGGGTAGGTAGTTAGGCAGTTCCATAGCTCAGACTCACAAGAAGAATGTAACCTCTTAAAGTATTAAAAATTTGGTCGAGTTATGCTCTTAAAGAAATTTTAAATTATATAGGTCTACTTGATTCAAAAATAAATTAAAGCACTATACAAACATAACAAGATTACTGATTCCTCTCTTTTCACCTGCCTTCCCATGCAGAGGAATGGAGGAATTTAAAGATCTACTAGTCTCAGAAAAGAAACTTACTGTTCCTAAACAATTCCACAAGGAATTTTTTTTCTTTTAAAAAAAATTATCAGCTGGGCATAGTGGTACATGCCTTTAATCCCAGCACTCAGGAGGCAGAGGCAGGTGGATCTCTGTAAGGCCAGCCTGGTCTACACAGTGAGTTCCAGGCCAGCTGGGGGCTATAGGGAGACCCTGTCTCGAAAAGACATATAAATAAATAGTAAAAATTTAAAAATTGTATATGTGCTTATAAAGCAAAGTGATGTTTTTATTCATGTATTTGCTGTGCAATGATCAAATCAGGGTCGTTAGCATATCCATCACCTCCAACATTTATTGTTTGTAGTGAGTGTTCAAAAACCCTTCTGGGTATTTTGAAATACCCAGTACATTTCATCCTACTATGCATCACAACACAACTTCTTTTTCCCATCTGCTTGTAATTTGTATTCACTTACAACTCCCAACCCCACCTCCTTTTGTTTTTCCTCTCTGCTACCCACTACCCCTATACTCTACTGAGTCCCAAGTTTTGAGAATATATGAGTGAGATGATACAATGTTTCTGTCTGGCTCATTACATTTGACTTTGTATCCTTCAAGATCCATCTACTGTTAGAACCACAGGATTTCATCCTTTTAAATGGCTGAATAATACCCCTGTGTATGTTTCTAGGTACATACCACATTTTGAAAAATCCATTCACTGTTAGGTGATTAATAATCTTAAGCTGTTATAAACAGCACTTCAGTAGGCATAGGAGATTCTTGGTCCAAAACTATTTAGTTCTCCCCTTTCCTTCAATTAATCTGTTATTTCTATTAATATGTATGCATCATTGGTATGAGTCATCAATTTTAGTTTTGGTTTTTTGGTTTTTTTTTTAAAGATTTCTCTTCTTTAAAATGTGTGTGCATGTGCGTCTA